CTGCAGGCACCAGGCACACTTAAACATACAGAGAAAACATACTCACAAAAATAAATTAAGCTCGGTGGTGGCACACGCCTTTAATCCCAGCACTTGGGAGACAGAGGCAGGTGGTCAAGACCAGCCTGGTCTACAAGAGCTAGTTCCAGGACAGCCTCCAAAGCCACAGACAAACCCTGTATCAAAAAACCAAAAATAAATAAATAATAAAGGAATAAATTAAGCTGTAGCTTAATTTTACAAATAATGGAGCTAACAGGGATGGGGACTGGTTCAATTGGTAGGGTGTTTGCCTGGCATGCACAGATCTCTGGGATTGGTCCTCAACACTGCATGTCAGTGATCCCAGCACTAAAGACAGTCAAAAGCTCAAGCCTGAGTGGGCAGAATGGTTCAGTTCAGCAGGGAAAGGCACCTGCTGCCAAGCTTGATAGCCCAAGTTCAGTCTCTGGATCCCACATGACAGAAGGAGAAAAGTGCCTCCTGGGAATTGTCCTCTGACCTCCACATGTATGTCAGGGCAGGTGCGCGCGCTTCTCTATAGTTCTGGATGTCCTGGCACTTGCTCTGTAGACCAAGCTGACCTCAATCTCACAGAGATCCACCTGCCTCTGCCTCCTGAGTGCCGGGATTAAAGGCGTGCGCCACAACTGCACAGCATGAAAAACACTTTTAAAAAGTTTAAGATGGGGCTGGAGAGATGGTTCTGGGGTTAAGAGCACTGACTGTTCTTCAGAGGACCCAAGTTCAATTCCCAGCACCCACATGGCAGCTCACAACTGTCTGTAACTCCAGTTTTAGGAATCTGACACCCTCACACAAACATACAGGCAGGCAAAACACCACCGTGCTTAAAATAAAAAAAAAAGTTTAAGATCATTCTCAGCTACAAATTAAATTCAAGTCCAGCCTATTCCATATAAGACCCTGACTCAAACACACAGAGCCTAAGACAACTGGGACTGGAGAGGTGGCTCAGAGGCTCAGAGCACTGGCTGCTCCTCAGGACCTGCTTTCAGTTCCCAGCACACAATCATCTGTAACTCCAGTTCCTGGGTATTTAATGCCCTCTTCTGGTCTCTGTGGGTACTGCAGGTATATGGTGTACCTCCATCCATCCAGGTACACACACATTAAAAAAAAAATTTAAAAATCTTAAAAAACAAAACAACACAACAACAACAAAAAACTAAGACAAGAATTCAAACAAGAAGGAGAGGCCAAGGCCGATCTGGGGAGCATTGATACAGAAGGATCAAAGCCCTTAGGAACAACCACAGTGAGGGGTGTAGAAGTGGCTCAGTGGTGTAGTATTTCCCTCCTGGTGTGTGTGAGGTTCTCGGTTCAATCCCAAGTACCACCACCACCAAAAACTAGGAAGGAAGGAAAGAAGGAAGGAAGGAGGGAGGGAGGGAGGGAGGGAGCTGCTCTGGTGGAGGGCGGGTCTGCAAAGGAGGGTCCTGTTGGACCTGCTGAGTGTGCAGGGCAGGGGCTGTGTCAAGACAGTCAGATGAAGCACTGGGGATTTGGAGGGGAGTCTGGGACGTGGTGTTGACCTGAGGTCTGTGGCTGTCACGTGAAACAGGGTAGACAGGGAAGGCGGTAAGGGAAAAGACTGAATCTAGAGGCACAAATACACTGGAGAGGACAGGAAGAGGAAGGGGAGCACTACAGATGGAGAAGGAGGCAGTCTTCAGGCAGGCTGAGAACTAGGAAGGGCCACTGTTTAGTACTGGGAGGCCACCGGGTTCCCGCTGAAATCAACTGGTCAGTTCCTAGGTGTAGTCTTCTGCCCCAAGGTCTTTTCCAGCTCCTGCCAATTCTCTATAAACAAGACTGTGTTGGGTACCAGCTGCCCAACCCCACCCCAGTGGACAAGAGTGGATGAGCCTAGACGGTAGGTGGGTTCCCAGGGGTGAGGCTGAGTGCTGTCCTTTGGGTGGGTCTGCCTCAGGACAGGAAGTTGCTCAAAGTCTTCTCAAGCTCAGGGAACCCTAGGGTGGAGCCCTGCCATCCACTGAGAGACAGAGCCACCTAGTGGACAGAAGGAGCCAGACCCTCATCCTCCTAGCCCCACCTAGGCAGAGGCAGCAGGACACATGGAGACCCACTCAGCCTCACAGGACAGACAGAAGACAAGCTCCTGGCCTAGACTACAGACTAGATTGGGTTCTATTAATAGGTGGTTTATGTGGCTTATTTGTAACAGAGAAAACAAAAGGAGGCCTGAGAAAATCTCCACATTTGGTACATCCTGACCCCAATTCACAGTCTTTGAGCTCCCCAGAGCCTGTGGAAGTAGTGTTTGCTCCAGGTGGGGTGACTTCCAGAGGTAAGGGGCAGTCCACAGGGCATCAGAAGCACAGGACCTCTACATCCTTTGTCTGATATGCAGTTGTGGAACCAGGGCAACGGTGAGGTCAGGTCACTGTGATCACCTCTTTATTTTTTTTAGACAGAGTCTCACATTGTCCAGGCACCAACCTTAAACTCACTATGTGGTCAAGAATGACTGTTAACTGATCCTTCTGCCTTTACCTCCCAAGTGCTGGATTCACAGGGGTGTGCTATGAATTTAAGGTTTCATGGATGCTAGGCAAGCTACTCTGCCATTGAGCTACATCCTCCACCTTAACTGTGACCTTCTTAAACAACTTAGCATACTGCATTGCATTCTCAATTGTTGGTCCAGCAAAGTGAGTTTTCATATGTATATGCATATATGGTTTGTTAAAATAGAGTCTCTTATATCCCAGGCTGGCCTTGAACTCTTGCTAGGAATAAAGTGTGCACTAACACGTCAGGGTAAATAATGTAACTTTAAAAATATATCTGTTTTTTTTTTATTTTTTAGTTATGTGTATGTGTGGGTCTGTGCATGTGAGTAATTGTAACTTTAAAAATATATCTTTTTTTTTATTTTTTAGTTATGTGTATGTGTGGGTCTGTGCATGTGAGTGTAGGTGCCTACAGAGGCCAGAGACATTAGATTACACTGGAGTTACAGGTACTTGTGAGTTATCTGATATGGGTGTTGGGAGTTGAACTCAGGTCCTCTGCAAAAGCGGTTCTTCTAACTGCTGAGCCATCTCTCTGGGCCAATATATAACTTCCTAAGAGCAAGTGGCTTTTACTCAATAGTAGAGTGTCTACCTAGCATGTGCAAGGTCCTGGGTTTGAACTGTGGCACCATAAAACGTATTTTTCCCTTCTTGTTACAAAAGAATTCATGCACAACATACAAAAATATTTTCTAAAACTTGCTAGCTTGGAAAGTGAAAGTCCATTATGAAAACCAACATCCAGTCAGTATGTTCTATCCAGGGGTGCAGGCAGTGGCAGAGCACAGTTTAATATGCATGAGGCCCCAGGGCTGGTCCTGGGTACCACATACACCATTTTTCCCTATTAACAGTCAGTATGTATTCCATTGGCTTTTCCTTTTTTTTTTTTGTTTTTTTGTTTTTTTGTTTTTTTGTTTTTGTTTTTCGAGACAGGGTTTCTCTGTGGCTTTGGAGGCTGTCCTGGAATTGGTTCTTGTAGACCAGGCTGGTCTCGAACTCACAGAGATCCGCCTGCCTCTGCCTCCCGAGTGCTGGGATTAAAGGCCCCATTGGCGTTTCTATATCCATATGTGGTGTGGTTGAATGTGTGTGGCAGGGACATGGGGTGGGGACTGCCTGACCCTGACATGGCCCCACAGCTTCTCCATTAAGGGTTTCCCACCAGGGACATTGTACAGAGACTCAGAAACTCAGGGACTCAGGACCATATGGGAGGAAAGTAAGTCCCTGGGAACTCAGAAGTCTGAAGTTTTCTGATGGACCTGGCTTAGGAGCTAGGAGAGGGAAATCCAGGCCAGCTCTGGGGAAGAAAAGGACTCATTCAAGAGACAGTGAAAGGTAGACAGACGGTAGACACCCTTGGCTGTGGTGCTGGTTAGCACACTTGAGCAGGCACGCCTGGGCAGGCAGTGTATGAGACATGCATGGCTCCAAATTGCTCTGAGTTAGCAGAGGTTCCCTGGAAGGTTTCCGCCTAGCTGGCTGGACCACACCAGTGCCCTGGAAGCAGCCCCTGCATCAGGGCTGAGCCTACAACATGCAGGATAACTGGGGTGGCAGCCCAATCATCCCCCCAGAGCCTCAACACAGCAAACATTCTGCTCTGGTGACTGCCCCTGCCAGGACTTGCCTGGACACTCAAGTATCTTATAGCCCCAAATCCCAACGAAGCCTGGGAAGAACAGAAAAGGAGCACGAGGAGATGCTGATCAGAGTGTTGTGCCACAGGGTCAGGCCGCACTTTCAGAGATGAAGAGCCTCCACAAGAGACAAGAGACAAGCAGCTGCCCAGCAGCCTTGTCTCAGTGACTCCTGGGCACCTGTGTGTGGTCAAGGGCCATGACTTACCGCCTCCAAACCACTGCCTGCTAACAGGAAGTAATAGCAACTGCTGTCAACTGTCAAATGATGTGCATCCATCCCTGGGCACAGCCCCTGTTGTTCAATAAACACCCATGGACTTTTGACCATGGGGGATCCTCAGAATTACCTTGGGCACATGGGGACATCAGGCACTATCCCTTCCTGCTAGTGCCAGTCCCGCCAGTCACTGCACAGCCGTGCCCCACAGGGACAATGCTGTCACAACACATAGAGCGGTTTCGCTGTCCCTGAACCAGGAGCTGAGAGGACAGGAGTCAGGCTGGAGGCTAAGGGGTGCAATAATCAGGCCCTCCGAGGTTACACAGGCCCCAGACATAACTACCTCCCACCTTCCCCCAGGCCTGGGAAGGGATCTACCAACTGCCTTGTTGGATTCTTGACTCCCACCTGAGGAGGAGATGGACCAGGCAGGAGGCTGGCTATGGATGGTGAGAGGGAACAAGAGCCTCTTTTTCCTTCCCTGAACTCCCGGGCCAGCCATCAGCTCTGAGAAGAACCCTGCTCAGTGCGCTGGGGAGGGAGGGCTTGGCTGGCGCCTGGCCCCTGACTCACCCTGGTCGATGGAGTGCTGTGGCAGCTGACTGAGCTGGCTGCTGACTACCCCCGCGTAGGTGCGCAGGAATTCTTCCTCGCTGGCGGTCAGCTGCAGGGTGAGAGTGCTGTGGTGAGGGGAGCAAGTACCTGTTTCCCCAAAAGGCCTCCTACCTGATGCCACTAGTACCTCCCTCCTGCTCCTCGTCCTCTATTTCTGGCAAGGCCTTTGGAGTTTTCCAGCAGTCACACCCTGCTTCCACCCTGAAAACCAGGTCTCTGAAGTTCACATGTCTTGCCAGTGACTTTGAATGTAGATCACTCTCTATTCTAGATAGAGCAGGTACGAAAGTCAGGCCCCAGCCAGACACCAGCAGCAAATCAGCCACTCCAAACCCCTCCATTTCTCTTCAAAAGATGTCCCCTGCACTTGCTTGTCTACTGCCCTCTCCAGTGGCCACCCTGCCCAGTTGCCCCTTACTTGCTCCCAGGTCAGAAGCCTCTCTGAGGTCACTGAGGGTCAGAAAGGAAGGTTAAAGTCCCCAGAGTCCCTGGCTCAAAAATCAGCAATGGAGTGGAAAGAGTATCTCAGCAATGCCCCCCAAATTGAACATGCCAGTCTCTGTGCTTGGAGAGCCTGGACTGGCCCCACGGGCCTCTCCGCAATTCCTGGGGACTCGGGAGGTGGCTGCAGCTGCCCCATCCCTCCTGGTTGACTGACAGCCTCCGGGCACTCACGTTTGACCCCATCTTCCTCAGCATGAGCAGCACGCGGACCTTCTGTTGGATGTACATCTCCTCCGGGCTCTTACCGGGTGCTCCCTCGCGGTTCATCCCCCTGGCCCAGCTCTGGGGACTCCTGCAAGGAGAGGAGAAGAGTTATGGAGAAAGCCAGGATGAGACACACTAACACTGACCCTGTAGGTGATACACCCCTTTCCTAAGTAGTCTCTCATTTCTGACAGCATGGGAGTCACAGAAGAGGCGGTGGGTCCTCTGTAGCTCCTGACCTGAGGCCCAGGCAGCCTGGCTGAAGAGTTCCTGCTCTGGAGCAGAGGCTGCAGAGGATTTCTGTTAGGAGCCATAGGAGAGGTGAGGCACGAAGCCCCAAGAGTTCTAGGTTTCAAACACGGGCAACATGCATAAGAAGTAAAAGGGATTGATCAGAGGTGGCGAGCTGGAGTCTTTGGCTCAGGAAACTGTGAGATCAGTGGCAGCACCCTGTGCAAACGCCCCTACTGAAACTCAAGAGGCCAGCTCCCGGGCAAGGCACCAAGGAGTCCCTCTATGGGGTGGCTGGTCCAGAGGCACTGGTAGGGCTGCCACTGCACCCCCACAAACCCACCCCACCTGTTAGAAGGTAGCTCCTGAAGGCAGCTGTGAAGGCCAGCGGCTGTGTCCAGGTGTCTCTGGCCTGAGCTACAGCCAACCCCAGAAAGAGAAGCCCGGAGCCTCCTCCTGCATTGGGAGCTGAGGGAGAGAAGCAGGATCTAGGGGTTTGGGTTACACACTTGAACTCCTGAGCAAGTCAGAAATAACGCAGCAGCTGGCAGGGTGGAGCCTCAACAGCCCTGCCACCAAGGAGCTGCACTTGGGGATGAGGGAGCCCGGCCGGCAGGCTAAGGACACTCCTTACACCATCCACCCCCAGTGGCCCATGAGTCCCACACAGGGAAATGCTGGACAAGGCAGTACTCCACGCCAAGGGCGTACCCGGGAATATGCCAGAGCCCGGGCAACAGCTCCTGAGTATCTACTTGTCAGCTGCTCAAAAGCCTAATGGGGCCCTCGCCCTGAAAGCCCACACAACAGGTTAAAAACCTGGCCAGCTGGGGCGGGTTGACATCATGTCAGCACAGGACTCCTTCTAGAGTCTTCGTACCCACCCTTGGGACCCTAGAGCCCAGACTCCTTTCTCCTGGGGTTTGCTCCCCTCCAACTCAACCTGGGCTCATAAAAGGGCCAAAGTAGCCATTAGGGGGCTGGGAAAGGACACCGTGGCCTTGGGCATGTCTCCAGGGCACACACGACCCTATGAATGGTCCTCACTTCCTGCAGAGCCCAGCAGGAAAGCAAGGTTCTGGGTAGCCCTCCTTCATGAACCTGCCCTACCTCTAGCTCACGCACTGCACCGGCACTGCTGGTCTGGGGAGGGACTGTACATATGGCTTCATGCTGATCCTGCCTGGACCTTAAGTATGGATGCTGTGGCCTACATCTCCTCCCTGGTGCTTCTGTCTGGACTACTATGGCCTTGGCCTCATAGCCCACTCATCCTCCACTGTCCTTTCCCCTCCAGAGCAGCTAGAACAATCTACATAGGTCAGGAGAGATGACTGCGCCCCCCACCCCCAGTCCTACCTGAAAATACATTTCCTAGCCTGGATGGTTGCCTGGGAGTCCAAGTGTGATCAGCCCCGTTCACCCTGAAGCCCAGTTCTCCCCGCTCTGGTATATCTCTGCACTGGGTAATCATCCCTTGAACCCAGAACTGGCTTCATCTTGGCCTCAAGGTACCTTCCAGGGTTCAGTTCCTCGCCTCCATATCTGGTCACACAGCCCTGTCTCACTGTCCTACTTCTGAGTTCCTTATTGGAACGTCTGCTTATTGTCTCTTCCCTTTCCTGCTGTGCCTGCTCTGTTTGCCCCTGTCCTCCTAGAGCCTGGTACCCAGCAGGCTGGCTGAATGGAGCAGAGGAGCAGTCTTCAGTGCCTCAGATCCCCTCTCTCTATTGTACTCACACCAATTCGGAATGTCATTGTACTCAGAGACTCAAGTACTAACCCACAGTACCACAACCAAATTTTACCCCCAGCAAACATTGGAAGTATTCCACGGAGCCTTCAAACTGGGAGTCAGAGCTCCCATGAGCAAAACCTTCCAATTCTGTCCTGTGCTCAAGGGCTAGCTAGTTTTCAGTAGCCATTGCCTATGAAGGGTGAGGACATGCAAGGGACCAGCCACTAGGTGCCGCCATACACAAAGTTTCGGGGTGTCTCGGCAACCAAGGGGATTCCTGCTGTCAGTCCCCAGGGAAGCTCTCACAAACCACACTCCAATCACAGTGGGTCCCAGGAACTTAGAGCGCTGCTCCCATAGGACAGGGTCTAGTTACTGCTGCCACGTCAGTGCTTGCTGGAATGTCACTGTGCAGTCATTTCACACAGGGTCTGCATTACAGAACACTGTCCCTCAGCGTTCGCCTTCCACACCCATAGACGGGCAAATCCCATCCTCTTTGCTGCTGCAATCCTGCTGTGAGGGCTCACCGGGATCTCTGGAGCCAGGTCACTCTTACTTTAACACACTTGCCTGGCATCGCTGTTTCCTAAATCTCACAAGAATCCTGACTTAGCATTTCTAAAAATTCTTGTCATGTAGTATTCTGTTTACACATCTTTATTTATTTAGGTGCATGCTTGCATGCACACCATGGTGCACACGTGAAGGGCAGAGAGGAGGACCTAGGGAGTCAGTTCTCTCCCAGGGACGGAACTCTGGCTCAGAGATTCGGTGGCAAACATCCTCATCCTCTCCCCACTGGTATTAGGCTCTGACCCTGCCTCGCTGCCTGATGGGAAGGAACGCCCAGGGCTGGATCTGGGGTAGAAAGTGGAGCACAGGTCCCTGCCCTTGACATTCCAGGCCAAATGCCCTAGGAAGCATCCTAACTGATGTAATTCCGTCCTAATTTGCAGGGAGGGTGTCAATGGGAGGAAAATTAATAATTGAAGCGAATACGTCATAGTCATCTCAGACAAATGGTTGCTGGTGTGCCGCAAGTATATTACAGTGTGCTTGTATTTGTTGCCTATCCAAGCCAATGTCATTAAATTTTCATCACAATTCTGTCAAGTGCTACAGTAATGTCACTGGAGGATTCCAATTCTCCCTGTAGGGATCAAGAACTGGTCCCCATTAAAATGTGCTTAAATTACATAAGCTCAAACTGCAATTAATTTACATACTAACTATTCATCACGCTCAGACCTAAGAACTAAGTAACAACGCATCTCAGGAATGGCTCCAGCTATTCCTACACACAGCCCACCCCCAAAACAGGACTGTGCTTCCCTTCCACCAGATGGACCAGAAAAGGAAAAATGGCGGGAACAACAGGCAGCTGTCAATTATGCAAATGAACGGACGGGAAGGGCAAGGTCTGTGGTTTGTTCTGTGGGGCAAACCACATGGTGTGTATAAAGTGGTGCCGTGCCAGAGAATCCCATCTGACGGAATAAACGCAAACACTGAGGGTCACGGCATCTAGCAGACACTGCGTGCCTTGACAGTTGGTTCTGAGCCTGCCCCTCCGCTGCAGGAAGCATGGCTGGTCAGCAAAGCAGAGCCTACACAGTTCCCAATCACTACACAAGACCCACACAGGGAGAGAACTGTGAGGATTGCCAGGTGAGAGGGGCACTGAAGTGATGTCGAATTCCCACCCAGCCTCTACAGACCTCCATGGACCAACTGATGGCACTTCAGAATTAGGAGGCAGAGAAGCCAGGAATGTGACACATCACGCATCACATCGGTTGGAGGATGGGAGGCTAGCACTGCCCATGTGGGTCTCTATCAGTGCAGATAAGGGCCCTGACAAGCTGGCCTCCCTTTGACCTGCTTGAGTGGCCCTGAGTACAGGTATAGCCCCCTGGCTCATTTGTATTTATAAACCTGATTCTAATGCTGTTTGCACACTCATGTTTATTTTTTTTTAAAAAAGCATCAGCTTATAACCATGGGGGTCTTGTATCTGCTTAGGAAACTATCAACTAACCCAAGCTGGGCCAGAACTCAGGAAGGCCCTTCAGGGTCACAAGGGTCTACTCTTCGCCTTTCACTTTGTCCATGTTAAAACATACTTGGAAAGCTAGGTGTGGTGGCTCTCCCCTGTAATCTCAGCACTTGGGAAGCAGAGGCAAGAGGATGCCATAAGCTTGAAATAACTTGGTTACACAGAGTCCCAGGCCAGCCACAGACAGCGGCATACTGTGTCAAAAACCCAAAATAAACACCCACCGTGAGAACTGGGCATAGAGACTATCTGTAATCCTAGCACTAGGGAGGCTGAGGCATGGAGATTTCCCTCTATCATGGAGCTACTTTGGGCTATACAGTGAGTTTCAAGTCACCCTGGGCTATAAAATGAGAACCTATGTCAAAAATAGTTTTTGCTGTTTTGTTGTTTTGAGACAGGGCTCTCTCTCGCTACATAATCATGGCTGGCCTGGAACTCACTATATAGACCAGGCTGTCCTCGAACTAAGAGAAATCCACATGCCTCTGCCTCCCATGAGATTAAAGGCCTGTGCCACCATGCCTGGGTAAAATTTTTAAAGCAAAAAGACATTTTTTAAGGAGCTAGACATAGTGGCACATGTCTATAATCCCATCACTTGGGAGGCAGAAGCTGAGGGATCAGGACTCCTAAGGTTATCCTCAGCTACACAGTGAGTTTGAGGCCAGCCTGGGCTACAGCAAACCCTGTCTCCAAAACACAAGCAGGCAACACAGACAGACAGACAGACAGACAGACACACACAGACAGACAGAAAGACAGACACACACAGACAGACAGACAGACAGACACACACAGACAGACAGAAAGACACACACACACACACACACACAGACATGAGAGTTCGGGGTGTGGCATGGTGGTAGCATGTACAAGCCCCTGAGCACCATGTGTAACACACCACATTAACAAACATCTCTGCAACTTTTAAATGCACACATGTTTTCATAGGGTTTATATCAGATAAGAACACGTCCTATAGCTTACAGACTTTATAGAAAATATTAACCCAGGGCAATCAAGATCGCTTCGTAGGTAAAGGCACTTGCAGCACAAG